TAATAATAATGTGGCGTGTACATTTAAAGGCCAAACACAAACCATCACACATATCTTCACCCGCACAATGACCAATTCAAGTTCCGTTAATCAGCACCCAGTTTCCTGGGGTTAGGGATTTTGATTTCAAGGACAAACTGCACAYACCTGCCTTGTTTCATCAATGGTTCCATTGTGAAGTTGTGGCAGTGAGACAAACAACTCCCAACTTGTGTTTGTGACATCAACCAAGACATCAGCCCCTCCCCCCCCTCCCCCCCCACATTTTTTTTTGGCTCATTACAACAATTAGTAGCTTCATTTATGTGTTTAGATTGTTGTGTGTTAATGGACATGCACTGATCATGCTAGGATTAGTGTTGCTGAACACGCTGTGCAGGCATTTTGAAACCTGTTCACACATTAAAAGTCTTAGATGTTTTTGTTTATCATCATGCTATAGAAGAAATCTGATAATGTTAGTTCCAAGTCTGAAAAAGTAGCTCACCTGGCTGCTTCAAACATAAAAAGTAGCAGTAACTGCAGTATTAAACTACCAGTAGGTAATAAATAACCTGTATCACTGCTGCTACAGTGTTAGCATGTGTAAAATGCAACACCTGGATTATTAAATTCGGACGTTGTGCTTCTGCTGAAATGTGTTCAGCTTGGACCACTGTGTGCCACTCAGCCTGTCCTCGCTGGGACGTTTAGGGAGAACATCCAGCGTACAATCACAGTCACATCTTGAACACTTCTAKCAGTGCATCATGTTCCAACTAGTCAATCTGATTTGAAACTCTCTGCCTCCACTGGTCTCCAAAGGTATATTTAGGTTCAGGTGACCCAGTTTTGTCATCTGTTTGGATTTTCAAGAGCCGGCGCAGACGTTTCAGAGACCCACTTTTGTGTTTAATCACATTTTATAAAGTGACAACAATACAAAGAGTTCCTGGATGTATTTCTAGTTTTACCCTGTTGTTGGGGGAAAGTTATGTGGGGAAATGTATTGAAAGGTTATAAGCATGAAGGATGCATAATTTTGTTTTTGTTTTTGCTTCTTCCATTATTAAAGGGGACCTATTATGCAAYATTCACTTTTTAAATGTTTTTTACTCAACTTTGGGTATGTACTTCTTAAAAAACAGTCCTAGGACCAAAAAATGCTCCCAGGGGCATATTTACTGTAAGTAAATGTATTTTTAATGTATATTAACGACAAGTTTTATACTTCCGTCATTTTGTGATGTCACAAACCGTACGACAACCCACCAGAACCTGCGTTCAGCCCCTTACCTAGCAACCCCCGGGTGAGGCTCCACCTCCTCAGTATAAAAAGTTGTCACAGTTGTTGTTGTACAATGTGTAGCTCACTTCACAACAGGCCTCCAATAGGGCAATGGGTAGAGTGTTGGACCAGAGAGCAGGAGACCAGGGTTTGAGACCAGAATGGACACTATTTAATTATTTATTTATTTTTCATTTGTTATGAATACATTTTCTCATGTACCTCTATTGTTTAGCTTATTAAAGCCTATTTGTTAGAGTTTCTGAGGTATTTTGACCGCTGCTGCTCCCTGCTCTGGTAACAGCATGCAGAGTGAGGGCAGAGCAGAGGAGGGAGAAAAAAAGAAGAAGCTGCGACCACGACTCTGCCTCTGGGTCTCTCATACGGTTGTACAACGGAGCTTCTGCTATTATTAGCCATGCTAACGTAAACACTGGCTTTGGAGGGCGGAGTTAATGTCAACAGATTTTTGGAGGGCGTTACCAACAGAGCTCATTAACATAAACAGCTCTTCTGAACAGAAGTCAGAGCAGGCAGAACTAGAAAATGGGAAATTTTATTATCTGAGAATTATTTTGTGCATTAAATTGAATGAACATGGTCTGGGTAGCCCACAGACATACCATAAAAAATTCTAGGAGCCATAATTGGTCTCCTTTAACACACATTTGGCCACTTTCTGCATGTTTACAAACTGGAACGAAGGCACATTTATGAATAATTACTGCTATGTCCAAATTAAAGGGCTGCATCCTTCGAAGGTCGATTACGTCACAGCGATGCGCCGAAGGCTGTCCAAACTCAAAGTCTCCTCTAATTATGGCCCACAAACGCATTCTCCTTTTCCCCTGATTTGAGGGACGGGTCCGGTGTATCCTTCTCAGCTCATCCTATCCCAAGATGCATTGCGGGCCAATTGGTAGATTATATTTTATTGCAATAAAGCTGAAGGCTAGACCGTCCAAACTCCCAGCCACTTTTTGGTCTTTGAGGTTGACAAAGGACCCGTGCCATGTTGACTAGGTAGTCTGAGTCCTTTGAAGGATGCAGGCCCTGAATTTGGATGCAGCCTCAATCCTTCCTGGCTCCATCCAGCTGGTTAACATAATGTGTGAGTGTTAGGTCTTAAAATATGTTTATTTGATTTTAACACTTAAAATGTCCTGACCCATGTTTCGTTAGTTATTAGTTATTTTTTCTGCTTGATTATTAAGGTTTTTTTTGTGAATCAAGTGTTTATTGTACCAACCTGTGTTCCCTCAGTTCTGCTCCTAGTTGTCTCTTTACCAGGTGTCATTTAGTTCATTAGTGTGTCTTTATATGCCTCCTCTGTCACTTCCTCCAGTGGTGCGTTGTGTCCCAGAGCTCACCTGTGTTTAAATGACTGACACTCAGCTGCCACGCCACTGTTTCATTTTAGTTTAATGAAGCAGTTTTTGAGGTTTCGGGTCACGTTTGTACTCCTGGGCTCAGTAGACTCTAGTAATCATGATGAATGCAACCCCACAGTGTTTGTTTTCACCCATAGCTACAGTAATTTCTGCACACACACACAGTCTTGTGTTGATGAGAGAGTTTAGTTATTGTTTAAAGTATTCCCCAGCTCCCCCTAAAGCTTCTCAGCAGGTCCGAGGCATCTGGACTCAGGTGGTGGTTGGACATGGACAGAATGCAAGAATGTCTTGTGCTTCCTGTTCTCTGCTCACTTCATCTGATTGGGTTAAGGACGTGTTGCCATCTAATAAATATTAATCACTGCAACACTTTTCCGATGAAAGCTTTACCTATCTACAATTCCAGGTGGTGACCCCCAAAAAACCCGAACTACTTCTTTAGCCAGCACCTCTGCTAAATGTTCTCTTTGACAGATGGTTTCTTTATAAAAACCCTGTGACCAATTATCATGCAAGCTTTAAAAGGAGAAGGAATTAAGAAAAATAACTTCCAGTAAGTCATCGGGGCACCTAATGGATTTTGAAATGTTCCAAAATGATTTTGGTTCACATGGTTATTAATGTGAGCTGTCTGTCAAATGCTCCAGGCAAAAATGAAGTTCTCTTTGACGCTGAAGAGGATCGGCTGCTGGATTTTTATCATTTATCACATTTATCACTGCGGTGTTCAAGCTTTATGTAGGAGTGAACAGTGGCTAAGATAAAAAGAAAAAAAAACTAAACAAATAAGTGTGTAAACAAAATGTATAGATTGTCCCTTTTTTCTGTTTTTTACCTTCTGCCAGTTTGACCAAATACACAACTTTGGCTGTAAGTCAAGAAACGTGAGCGTTTTGTTTCCATCTGCTAACATGACTGAGATTTGAGCAATCCACATATGCTGCAGCAATTATACATGCTTCATATCACTGTCAGTTTGATTAACATTGTCACTAAATGGAGGCTGCACATCTTATCACTTTGAACAGTAACCACATATTGATCTGTGTGTCAGTTTGGATGTCTGCTGGAGTCTTTGGTGGTCAAAATGGTGCAGACAAACAAAAAAAGAAAGGGCTTTTCATGTGAGGAAATAAAACCCTATGAAATCTGTTTTATTTTATATCTTTTCCTTATTCTTTTCTGTTTTTATTTTTCTAAATTCTGCTTTTTTTCAGTATTTTACATTGACATTCAAACCATATTTATTAATCTAAAAAGTGCACAATTAGAAATTGACTCAAAAACAATTTGCCAAACGATTAGCCACAGAGTTAACAATTTAATAGCTGTTTTTTCACGGCCCAGTCTTCCATAAACTGGACCATCTTATTTCACAGCCCTTTCTGCAGCCGACACGAATGTTCTATGTTTGTGAGCTGCAGCGTTGCCAGATGGGAAATGTTGAATTATCGTATCAGCAGCTCAAAATTATCGTATTTTGAGGAAAATTATCGTACACACCCAAGTTACATTCTAGAGAGGCTCAAATTTACAAATACATCCTACATCCTAAAATGAAATCAGGAAAAGAACAAATCACTGTAGTTTATTGTACTTTTGATTAGTCAAGAAACAAATTGAGTACACACTGAGCAAATTTAATCTGCAAGCCTCCAAAATCTGTTTTTTTTTTTAAATAGCTTCTGGATGACACCTGGATGTGTATTAAATATAAATGTTGCTTATACTCCTCACCTTCTCAGTCCCACCTTTTCTTTTTGATTTTACAGTTATTATTTCTTTCACATAAGTACTGTTATATTTATCTTTGCTGCTACTAGTTGCCATCATAACCTCAATGTGGGAGGGGGTGTTCTCCCCCAGAAAACTTTGAATGAAGTACGTGCTGTTTCCTGCATTCTGGTGTTTTTGCATGTTGTTAAACATATTTTAAACTACATAAATAAACACTTTCATATGTATTTTAGAGACYGATTCTACATTCAACTCAATATATGAATCATCCTTTTTGTGTCACATTGGACATTTGGTTTTTTAACCAGCTGGTAGGAAGTAGAGTTTTAAAAGGGTTAAAAACGGCTTTGTCGTGGCAGCCAGCCTTCTCTTTAGAGACAGTYGTAGGCTATGTCAAGAGAACAAAATAAAGTTTCTTCTTTTGCTCCCCTCTTTTCTGTTGGCTAGGGACCGGCAAAGGGATCTATTTTTAGCCATAGAAAGTTTTTATTAACATCCCATCATGGATCAGTCGCAGCAGCAGTATTCATTTCATGTCTGGATGGGATGGAVATCTACCTGCAGCAGGGAGAGACGCTGTGTGAAGAAGCCTCCTGTCGGTGCTCTGGGACCGGGGAGGAGGAGCTCTCAGCAGCACAATGGAGAAATGTGTTCACGGCAGAGTCTCCCAAAGTCTCAATAACACCAGAAAAAGAGTCGCTAGATTTTCACTAGTCACTTTTCTGAATAACAGTATCTAGAGGGTCTGAAAAGTCTGTAAATATAGCGAGGAAGTCGCTAAATCAMCACCGCTGTGTTCCACAACCCGCCACCTCTCATGTCAGCGAGCAGCGTGTCGGGTCAATTACGTCACACATTGGAGCGGTCAAATTATCGTACATTATGGGGTTTTTGGGATTATTGATTGTACATCGTACAGAGGGCAAAATTATGGTACAAATACGATAATTATCGTACAAATACGATAATTATCGTACACCTGGCAACACTGGTGAGCTGCAACCCATAAAGGTACGGGGGACGGCAGTGGCCAAAATACCACAGAAACTATAAAGTATCTATACCAGCTCACCCAAACCTGGGTTTTGTACACAATTCCGTCCACATTTTCTGCATGTAAACTCATAGGGTCCTAGAAATGTTTTTTGGGGGGTTTCAGTCCATTTATATTAATTATATGAAGGGTTTCTGRACATTTATCTTGACCTCCTTTTTTATGTTGGTTCTGTGTGGCGTTCAGGTGCAGGCGGCTCTGAAGAGACAGTGGATGCAGTGCAAAACCCAGTGGGGCCAGAGACGAAAGGACCACTGTTCGATGCGCTCCACCTCCTACACGGCCACCTCCATCACCGAGGTGCCCGCCTTCATGTACCACCACGACGGCCCCACGGAGCACTTGAACGGACGCCACGCGGACGACTCCGAGCTGGTGGCGCTGAAATCGGGCGACYCGTACGCTTAAGTCGTGGCGAGGACGAAGGAGCCACAGACACAGGAAGGGACAACAGTGATGTACAGTAAAAAAAAAAATTATCCAGTCAGCCTGACGCGCCTCAATGAATCAATCTGCTGCTGGTTTGTTCAGCGCAGGACGAAAATACGGGTCTGGAAACAAAGAAGCTCATCAGGATGGATTCAAAACACGGCAGACAAACTTTACATCTTCTTACATTACTGCTGCTGCTTTTTGAGAACTTTGATGTCGAAGACTTTGGTTTGATTTTGATGAGCGTCAACGTCCCAAAAGCTGCTAATCTGTGTGTGGACGCTGCGCGGAGGACCAGGACTACCTCTAACTGGGGTTCTTACTGTTCCCGATGATGGTGCTGAATGTGGCAGTAATGACGGTAGCAGTTTGGACTCAACACAATGTTGCGGTTATCACCCAAAACGGTGTAACAATGAAGATATTTTAGTATGTTCATTATGAACCGGATCGTTACGACCTCACCTATACCAAAGGGTACCGCTTGTCAGTCACTACCCTGAAGGTGCGTTAGCATGACGCTAAAGCTCACACCAGAACAAAATCCACAAACTGATGGAGGCGTGGTAGAGGGTCAAATATCCCCCCGCCCGCTGTGCTTAAAGCTCTGGAATTGTGTACATATAAAGTACGTTGAACAAGTGTTTAAATGTTTTTAAAACAAGATTTTATTCTTTTTGGTTTGGTTAATTCCTCACTATGTGCTAAATGTGCGTTCCTGTGATGCTGCATCCCCAGCCTTTGTTGTTGCTGTGTTTTATTTTAAACTTTTATTACATATTTGCACATGGAAGACAGATTAATAAAAGAATCAGRGATTCAGATCAAGATTATCTGATGTCTACAGTTCATCCTTCATTAAAGTGATCCTCTGTTCTCTTAGCATATGAACTCATGTCAATATGTGAGCATCCAGGGATATAGATTTAACGAAAAACAGAATTAAATAAGATCATGTTTTTATTGTCAGAGAACAAACTCATGTCTTATCTTTCRCACATTGTTGCACAAACATCAAATATAAATGTATTTTTGTCACATTCTTAGTGCTCTGTTACCGTTATGTTTGTTTCATGTTTTTTTAAAATGAAAATTTTAAGTAAAAACTTATAGATTTGCTGAAATCGTGTCTTGCATTCACATTTCAAGGTACTTCGAATGCCAAAAATGGACTAAAACGGCACGTTGATAATAGGTGGTGATTCTCTTTGCTGCACACAACTGAGAATGAAGTCAGCTCAGCCTGTCTGTGCTTGCCTGCCCAGCCTCACTCCTCAGCCTGTATCTGAGAAAACTCACCAGGGATGCTGGAAGTTCCACCTTCAGACCTTAAATCCTGGAATCCTGGTTCTCTCCTCTCAAGACCTCAACAAAACACAAACAGTGAGGAAAACAATCAGATAGTTTATCATCTGAAAACAAATAATTCCCACTGACTACTCACATGGATTACTCTGACCATTGTCTGTTCCATCCTGCAGATGATCATTTACCTGACCTTTCTTTCCCCTTCAAAATAAAAGCACTTATATTTTACACCTGTTTCCTGTGAATCCTTTCAACTGGATGCTGTGAACCAAAGGATAAAAATATAGCTGTTCTTTAAGATACAGGTCAACATTAGATACTATAATACTAGATTTTCTTTTTTTTTAAATCATGTAAGGTGAGAAAAGAAAAATAAACACCAAAGTTGACACCTTCCTAAAATAATCACCCACATCTTTTATTAATTATTTATCTTCCCAAGCTTGCTAGGAACCTCTGAAAAATGTATTTTTTATGACAGGTGATTATTATAGGAAGGTGTTGAAACAGCAAAAAAGCCTGAATCTGTTTAAAAAARGGGCAAACTTTTGGTTGATAAAAATGTCTGCACATTAGTGTTGGCCTATTTTTATAATAATTATTATTATTTTTACCAAATTAAAACCAAAAAGAGAATAGAATCATATTAGTGGATGAGTCAGTGCAGGATTTTTGTTTTAGTTTAAATGTAATAATTGTTCCACCTTCAGATGATTTGTTTTTGATGTGCTGCACATTAGACAATGTTTTCATGTTCTGAACTTTGTTGTTTTGTCTCTTCATACTGGTGTGAATGCAAACCGAAACACATCAGATTCCTATTCTGCAAAACTCTTTGTTTTGTTACCTTTGTGTTTGTTTCAGCTGCTGATGTGTCTCTTTGCTCCTCTCAGCTTGGGTTGGCGTCAAGAACAAAAAAGCAGCAGCATTTTGTCAAAAATCGTGTTCGTTATTTTTATTACCTCATTAGAAAACTCAGAAGATCGAGGAGCTGTTTTTTTTTCTTTTGAGTAGAAGATGCAGGAATCCAGCTTTGAAATGAACAACTTGCATCGTTTCAGGACAAATGTTCTTCCCAGCATCCGTGCAGCTTTTTTTGGCATTTTTAGCTGCTGCCAACACTATTCTTGTCAATATTTCACGGTAGGAAGAGCTAGCATAATGAGAGCAAAGAGAGAAGAAAGGCACTCTTACACTGTTTGGTGTCTGGTTTTGTGAACCCATGAGCTCAGCAGTGCTTTGCAGCCACATTTTATTCAAAATGGGACTCACAGCATCGCATGTTCAGCGGGACAACATGGACTGACGCAGCCAGAGCMGGATGTTTAGGGCGGATTGAAGAGGGTGTTGCTTCAACAGGGACACATGTTTGTTCAGGTTTCTGATTGAAAACAGGCTCGGCTGAATTCACGCCTGACTGCAACACCTGCATCATCAAAATGAATCYGTGCAAGAAATATTCACTTGGACCTAAATTTAATGAAATGTGTTTTTTTGTTTTGTTTTTTGTCTTTATAGAAAAAAATCATTGGAAAAATACAATTAGAGGGTAAAGTTATAAATTGTTTTGAAAAGCGTCCATCTTTGAAGCAGGTTGGTTTGGGAAACGTCTCAAATATCAGAATCAGAATCAGAATNCAGTTAGAGGGTAAAGTTATAAATTGTTTTGAAAAGCGTCCATCTTTGAAGCAGGTTGGTTTGGGAAACGTCTCAAATATCAGAATCAGAATCAGAATCAGAATCAGAATACTTTAATGATCCCCGGGGGGAAATTGCAATTATTACAGTTGCAGCCATTCAAGTAAGCATCAGATAAAGTATAAGGGAAGAAATATTAGAGCACACAAAGAAAAAATAAGTATAAAAACTCTGGAGAATCATGAACACAGAGAACAATGAGCATTCTTTAGCTTCTATACAGTTAAAATAGAAATAACAACAGTGTAAATGGAAAAAACAAAAGTGTAAATGCAAATAACAACAGTGATATACTCTGAAGTTAAAAACAGTATGACTGATGCAAAGGTCCCATCAAATATCATTGACGATATAAGAATAGGTGATGATAGTGATATTGCACATGTTAGATTAAAATGTAGTAGATAAATAAATTGCACAGGTGTATTAAAGTGACAGATAACTAATGGTTTCACGTTTCGGGCACAGTTGTATAGTTTGATAGCCACTGGTAGGAACTACCTCCTGTGGTGCTCAGTGGTGCATTTAGGTGCAATGAGGAYACATTTTCAGCAGCTTGTTATTTTCTGTGTTTTAGAAAGCCTCCTCACAGCGACAATGTCACAGCACATTGGACCAAACCCAAATTACTGTGCCTTCAGAGAGCGGAAATCGTGTGTGTGTGTGTGTGTGT